ATTCGTCAGTCATGACTGACGTAACGTAGAACGTGACTGACTGAAAGGGAACATTATTTTGGTTGCAGAAATAAATCATCACACATGATCAACAAACGTAAAATGCATTGATCTTAAACTAGCCTAAACATGAGCCCTGCACATGCATCTATTACTGTATCACAGTCATTTGGTAATGAGTCTGGGTTGCAAGAACCTGACTGTATGATAATCGCTCCGTTGTTGCGTTTCTCTCTCTCTTTTCGGTACCGCCGAGCTCCCAGCCAGCCTTTGGTGTAGGCCTGCATCAACACCACCCGCGCGATCACCTCCCGCAACATCAGATTGAGCTGCTCCACGTGATAGTACTTCAGAAACACCTGCAAGACACAAACACACATCTATGCAGATGCAGGGAAGCATGCTCATACCTCACAATAAAAACACCACCTTCATGTGTCTGTCGGGGACACAAAATCATCAAGGGGTTCAGTTTGAAAAAGGACACTTTGAACTTTTAATTTTTTTCCCAGAGTTGCAGATGCCAACCATCTGGTCAATTAGATTCACAGATAACTACCTTGACTTCTCAGACAGACAGAAGTGAGAGTGAGCGATTGTGAAAGAATGTGAGGAAAGAAACCATGACCTTGGCGCAGACATACTTTTTCTGCAAGCATTGGTCTGACAGAAATGCACTAAAGGAGAAAGCTTTTCTGTGCTATTAAAGGTCAATTAATAATACATTACATATATCTATAGTAGACATCCCACTTAACTGTCTCTGAGGCACAAAGTCAGGCATGTGTAGAGCTTGTTTAGTTAGTTTGGTCAATGTCCAGAGCTCTTCCTGCTCTATGCATTTTCTAGTAGACATTCTAACAGCCGTTATAAGCACAACAATGAAAGACTTTCAGTTGCATTGCTCTCAATGGAGGGTCAGAAAGCTCTTGGATTTCATCAAAAATATCTTAATTTGTGTTCTGAAGATGAATGAAGGTCTTACAGGTTTGGAACGATATGAGGGTGAGTAATTAATGACAGAATTTTCATTTTTGGGTGAACTATCCCTTTAAGTGCATCATTTGGCTGGGCACTTTTTCTTTTTGGAATTTTCAGTGTGAATACTCTACTCACACTATTTATACTACAAAACAGCATTAAAATAGTGCATAACTATGCAAACTGGGACGCATCTTATGTTTATGCACCGAGGTGTTTTTATTATAGGCGTAATTATTTTTATGCAGTACAGGGTAAAATGTACTGGTAGTACAATAGTATGATTGGTACTTTTTGTTGTTTTGCAAAACAACACACTAAATTGAAGAACACTAATGGAGAGAGAGAGAAAATGATGAACAGAAAAGGAACAAAATATTTAAACGGGATGATGATAACTGTACCTTGGTCTTTCCCAGGACCCAGTTGTCCAGTTTGGCTCTCTGCAGTATAACGATGGCATTCTCTCTACTGCCCTCTGGCATCTGATGGGCACGAAAGGCCAGATAGTAGTACCTGCAAGAAAATCAAAATTATGCATTACACCACTCAAACAGTGGACAGTGCTAAGCACACTTAGGTTTCTTTATGAGCTCAAATGTTCATTAACTTTACTGATCATACTGTATCAAACAAAGTTGTATAGAGCAAATGTCTTAAATATCTTTTGATGCTTAAAATACAATCGACAGAAGTAAAAAACCAAACGAACTACGCCACCGTTGCATGTCTTCAACGTCAAAAAGATAAAATAATAATAATAATCACTCCTGCAGCACAATAACCAATTTTTTTCTTTCAACTTGACACCATTCACTAAATTTAGTACTACATACTAAACATAGCCAGTCCTTATTTTTGCAGTTCCGTCTGGTGCCACTAGTGCAGCAAAAATGACACACTTCACCTTTAAGACTGTTTTGCACAGAACAAGATAAAAGACTATGGTCCAGATCGCTTTAGATATTCCAATGATAACATCTTCCTGCTGCAAAAACCTCTGACGGTGAGAACAGAAAGGTAAAGCGGCACCTGATTATCTGATAAATCACTAGATATGGGGCCATTGTTGCCTTGTTGTTATTGTCTGGGGGCCATCAGTTATACTTCTGAATATGCCTGCCTATAAATCTCATAAATGAGTCTCATAGAAACATCTGAAGCTTGCGGTTGATCCTGGGTGTATTTACTCACTCTGAAGAGGAAGATATCAGCCTTTGTGTTTAAGAAAGAATACTGCTTTTGATTCCCCTTGAACCGTGGTCTTTCATAATTATGCTCCTGATGGCTGTTATGTCTCTGGTTGAAAATACAAAGAGCTCTCCTTCACAAGGTTTTCCAAAAAGATCCGTTTGAATCCATACAGAAACTGGTTTTACAGAGCTGGTGTCAGTGCGGATCAGGAACAGCTCCAGACGTTGTCCGATGAAGGAAACGCAAACAGAACGGTCACAGAGTACTTCTTTTTTTTTATGCCAACTGGTCGGGGACGTCTGGGGAAAATACGGATAATCAGGACACTTCTGTGATCAAAAGGATGACGGGAAAAAAAGCCGGAGAGGCTCTTGCGTTTGAGCGGCCCCTCTGAGCGCAGAGAAATTGTCTGGGATGTTTATGTAAAAGAGATGACCTACATGTCCACCGTCTCACGGCCCACGAGAGAAAGAGATGGATGGGTTGAAAGAAAGCGCAAGAAAGAGAAAAGTTTATGGAAAATGAAGTGCGATTCCCAAAAGCCTCGGAAAAGTAAATTTGGACCATGAATTTCCACGGCGCTGAGAAACTTTCAGCGGATTCACTCCGCCCCTCCAAAGTACCACTTCAGCACTAATTACTCAACCAGAGTCTAATTTAGCATCACTTGTATTCTCAGAGGCTTAATTACCTATTATTGATGAGATTATGGTCTTCATTCAGAGCTGTCAAAATATATAGATAATAAACCTGCAACGTGAAGCTTCCCAGGAGCTTTAGTGAGCACTAGAGGAGGTGGGTCTATTCAATATGCGCTCATAGAGCTTTGATCTCTCTAACTGTCTGTCTGTCTGTCTTTTTTCCTTCTTTTCATGAAGCCCAAGAGCTTCGGCTAATTAAATCTAATAACATTCCTGTGGTCCAACAGGAACGCCCGGAATAATGTCATTTGACTGCATAACTGATGAAGTCTGCACTTGGAGTCCGAATGTTTTGTTTTTTTTCCCCTTCTTCTTTGCAGGGTAACTTAATAAGCATGACCACCTTTCATAACATAACCTCTTAAAATGGAGCAGGAATTCCAGTCAATAAAGAACCTAAATCTACATTTATATGTTTCCTGATAATAATGCTGATATAATTCTTTGGCGTTATGGGTGGGTGCTTGATGATTTCTTATTGACAGAATCTCAAGTCTATAATACTATGATCTAAATATAGCTCGAGTCTCTCCTTCAATATAAGTCCATATGTCTAATCACTTGACAGCACACAAGAATTACATGCCATATTTCATGGCTCAAAAATTAAAATTCTGTCATTATTTACTCACCCTCATGTCGTTCCAAACCCATAAGACTAATGTTCCTCTTTGAAACACAAAGGAAAATATTCTAATAATCTCTCATCACTGTGCATCCCTTAAATCAACCAAAAATGTTAAGTTTGAAATATTTCATAAAAACTACTCCAAATTAATCAAGCGTTTTAATCCAAGTCTTCACTTTATATGATGAACAGATTTCATTTATGCTTTTATTCACATACAAACATTAATCAATGCACATCCTGTACACATAGCTCATCAAATATGGTAAACCGTGCTTTCATGACACACGAGAACCAAATCAGAGAATATTAAAATGATCTTCATTTGTGTTCCAAAGATGAATTGGTTCTTATTGGTTTGGAATTACATTTTTGGGTGAACTAACCCTTTGAGGGTTTATTTAGATTCTTAACCATAAATATGATCAATAGCAATCAACAAACACCATTAATTGAATGGTAAAAAATTATTCTAGGGACCGATTCGCACTATTAACTAGTTGCTTATTAGCATGCATATTACTAGCATATTGGCTGTTTGTTAGTACTTATAAAGCACATATTAATGCTTTATTTCGTGTGAGCATATTCTAGATCCCTTAACTCTACCCCATACCTAAACTTAACAACTACCTTACTAACTATTAATAAGCAGCAAATGAAAAGTTTATTGAGGTAAAAGTCATAGTTAATAGTTAGTTAATAGTAAGAATTGGTCCCCAGGCTAAAGTGTGACCGAACTAATTGTGAACTAACTCTTTAAGAGTTTATTTGGTTTTCTAACCCTACATGAGCAATAGTAACAAGCAAGAACCACTAATTAAATGTACTTAATGAACGTTTTAACTAGATGTTGCAACTTCAGGAATCAGCTTTTGTGCATTAAATATTTAACTCAACAGCATTCTCTCTGACTTGCTGTGAATCGTCAGTCTTCTCTCAGGATGTCGTGTTCATTGAGTTCCTAATCTCTCTCCTCCCGCTCTCATTAGCAGCTTGTGTTTTGTGTGATCTTCGTTGTTTCTCGGGCCCTGTGGGACAAGCGCAGCACTCATTCTGCCAGCGTTATGTTACACTGTGGCTGTTTTCTACCTGTTAACAAACTCCTCGATGAGTATGCGGTGAGAATAGCCCTGCCGGCGGATGTTGACGGTCTCTAGGATGCCGGTGTATCGCAGCTGAACCATCACACGCTCCTTATTGAGGCGCAGAGCCAGCCGGTCATCATTGGGTTTGATACAGCGGACGAAATGAGGCGTTCCCACCACCATCTTAGACAGCAGGTCCATGAGAGAGTACTACAATAGAAAACACACACACACGCACACACACACACACACACACGTTAAATTGTTAAGATCAGTTAATGGGTAGGATTAGGGATGTAAGAATATGGTCATGCAGAATATGTGCTTTATAAGTACTAATAAACAGCCAATATGTTAATAACAGGCATGCTAGTAAGCAACTAGTTAATATTGAGAAATGGTCCCTATACTAAAGTGTTGCCTACAAAACTGATAATGTGAGGAGCTGAGGACTCACCCTGAAATAAGACGCCACTGTCTGTCTCCTCATGTTAGTGGTTTCCTCTGGGTGACGCATCATTTCCATGGTGTCCACCTAAACACACACATAAACACACTTACTGTAGCTTAGTGCACATGCAGAAAATACACACATCACCAATACACACATATGTACACACACATACAATGAACGCTACAATTCTGTTTTAGACTAAATGAACATATATTCATGAACAAGTTCATGTATGACAGATGTTAACACAATCACACACAATTTCCTCAACTAGATTATCGAAATAAAAAAAACATTAAACACTAAAGAGAGATTTTTTTTATGACAAAACAAGAACTATGGACTATAGGTACAGTATTAGTCAAGTTAAACATAAGACTTAAAAAAAAAAAGGTATCTCTAACACACTCTAATGGCAACTTGTAATCATAAATTTGTATACATTTTGTATTGGGTGGAACTTTTTTATTTGTTTCAATTTTTTTCTCTAAAAACAGCATGTATCTGTACATACAAACTGCATTATACAAATTCATTCAGAATTACCACTTTATAAAACAGTTATGTTTTCTAATGAGATCGAGTTGGTTTCACAGTTTTATCAATTAGCACACTAGTAAAATCATAGCTTGTGAGGCTATTATTACAGATATCTATAAGCATATTTGTTTGCAGACAGTGGGAGTGTGTGTGTGTGATGTTTAGCGATGCATTTTGCAATACAGTTAATGTACACACACATACAATGAACGCTACAATTCTGTTTTAGACTAAATGAACATATAACCTTCAAGTTAATGTATGACAGATGTTAACACAATCACACACAATTTCCTCAACTAGATTATCGGGAAAAAAAACACATTAAACACTAAAGAGAGATTTTTTTATGACAAAACAAGAACTATGGACTATAGGTACAGTATTAGTCAAGTTAAACATAAGACTTAAAAAAAAAGGTATCTCTAACACACTCTAATGGCAACTTGTAATCATAAATTTGTATACATTTTGTATTGGGTGGAACTTTTTTATTTGTTTCAATTTTTTTTCTCTAAAAACAGCATGTATCTGTACATACAAACTGCATTATACAAATTCATTCAGAAGTACCACTTTATAAAACAGTTATGTTTTCTAATGAGATCGAGTTGGTTTCACAGTTTTATCAATTAGCACACTAGTAAAATCATAGCTTGTGAGGCTATTATTACAGATATCTATAAGCATATTTGTTTGCAGACAGTGGGAGTGTGTGTGTGTGATGTTTAGCGATGCATTTTGCAATACAGTTATTTTCCCGTTTATTTTTGTAAAGCTGCTTAGAAAAAAAATCTGTATTGTATAAAGCGCTATACAAATAAATGTGACTTGACTTCACAGCATATTAAATAACACTTTACAATACAGTCCCATTAGTTAAAATTAGCTCATGCATCAACTAACATAAACTAACAATAAGCAATACTGTTACAGATTTTTTCATCTTTGTTAATGCTAGTAAACAACATGTCAGTTCATGTTATCCCAGGTCCAGTAAATAATAAAAACAGATATAATTTATAACTTATATTTAACTAAGATTAAGAAATGCTTTAGAAGTATTTTTGGTAACACTTTATTTTGTCACATACAGTATACTTACAATGAATGATGCATAATTACATGCAAGTAACCTTAAGCCAAACCCTAACATTATAGTAAGTACATGTAGTTAATTAATATTACTAAGCACTTTAATATATAGTTACACTGTAAGAACACCTTGAAATAAAGTGTAACAATAGTTTTATTATCTAATCTAATGTAGTTAACCAATGTTAACAAAGTGAACCTTATTGTAAAGTGTTTTTGTTTAAATCTACTACTATATAATGCCATTAATGGCAATGATCAATTCATATTTATGTAAAGATTCAAACCAAGCACTTCAAACATCATGATCCAAGCACGATGGGTTGAATACTGCAGGGACGTGTTTTCATAATGAACTTCAGGCTTCCAGCTGTTCTTAACAAGGACAAGATACGATGTGTATAACAGCCATCGCTACAACAGACCTCATGAATTTATCAAGGTGATACATAATTTAGAGCAGGTCTATACCAGCAAAGCGTGTCTTCATATTCTATTTCATCTGCGTGTGCAGAGGCAGGTGTGTGTGATCTTTATGAGAAACTGAAGGGTTGGACATGCACCCTGACTGAGAGACAATCGAACTAACCCAGTGTTTTAATAAGACATCTGTCCCACTTCGGCTCACAAGCAGAACTCTGTAAAGCGTCTCATCTGTGACTGAAGCAGTTTAAAGATACCTGCAATATTAACTGCAACCAATTAACTGGGTTCTGTGCTCCGGTGTCTAATTATATTTCTCGGATACAGCAGAGGTTTTAATATTACACACAGAACATAGGAAAATGGAGAAATAATTATCCAGGGGTTTCCTTCATAAGAGCAGCAACTCAGAACTGTAGTCAGGATACATTACCACAGCAAATCCAGCTTTATGAAGTCCTCAGTCTGTGCTAGACCTAAAGAAACGTAAACCTCACCTGGGGCTCTGTTACTAAAGGGCTTTATAGTGGAAACAATCTAATTCCTACACTTTTGAAACACTTTTCAAAAATATTTACAGTAAAACGGCAAGTAACACATTAAATTAAACATAAAACATTCCTTTTTCAGAAGTTGCAAATCATACAGATTATTGGAGACTTTTTTAATTTCAATTTTCATGTTTATTCAGTATGTTACTTGCCATTTCAATGTAATTATTTGTGAAATTTGCTAGACATTTATGAGTGAAAATTGTTTCAAGGATTTTTTTTTTTTTAGTAAAACATCGCTTTATTTAATACTTTGATAACTATATTTTTTATAGTATATGTGCAGTACAACATTTCTATTGCTAGTCAGTGGAAGGTGGAATTAGGGGAGGCACAATCTCAATTTAGAGATTTGAATGGACAAAAAAGTTGTATTGCAAGTAAGAACATTCAATATTTTTGTTCCACTTTCCTATAAAAGAGATGCTGTACATTTTATATGCCTATATCTATTAAAAGTACATTTTGTAAATTTTTAGATATACATTAACCGTCTTAGACGTTTTAAATCTAAAAGACACGAACAAAAAGATATACAAAATTCCAGTTTTGATTTCTTGGGATTGTTAGGATCAGAGAGAGGGTGGAAAATAGACACTAAAATCTAAATTATGACTGTTTTGGTAAAAAAACAAAAAAACAATTAGCATTATAAGTGGCTAATTTTAAATAGAATAAAAGACATAGGATGTGGCTCTTTCAAAGCTGCTTCTCAAATGAAATTGATTCATAGTCTAAGGATTATAAAAAAAAACAAAAAATAGGATATTCTTGGTTTTGTTCCATTAGCTCACAGACTAAATCAAACCAGAAAGAGAAAATAAAGTAGTGAAAATTGCATTAGAATATATGAGACTAATGAATATGAAGACAGATATGAAGAGATTCTTACCTTTAGCAGGTATTTAGGAGACTGAGAGGAGAGAAGATAGTTCAGACAGTCAGATAATAGATAAAAAGTGCGGAAGAGTGAAGAACAGAGGTATTTTACAATGAAAAGCATGCAAACAGGAGTTCAGAGGTTCTGGAGTAAAAACACGGGCAAATTAATAACATCATGAACTTCACCGGTTGAAATATATTTAGTCAGAATCTGTAGCTGATGCAAAAGTATTTTTCATGTGGCTGATGAAGTAACACCTGACTCTTTAACACAGAGAAAATTATATAAAAAGCTAACATCTAAGCGAAATGAATAAGCGTTGAGTTTACATCAAATCTGCACCTCTACACTGTAAAAAAATAAGTGTAGTTTTAACTGTAACATTTTGTAAAAACGCTACGGGAAAAAACTGTTAATAGGTTAACAGTAAGTTCCCGTACTATATACAGGGAAAAACTGTAAAAGATCTAACCAAACATTTCATGTAATTTTACAGTAAAATGCTGTTAATTGTACAGTTTTAGAAGTAAATATAACAGATCAATGTATAATTTACAGTCAAAAACTATAAACTGATATTCCCAGAACTCCCTGCATGACACTCCACATTTGAAAGTATTTTGTTTAAATAATCATGTTTTTTAATAGTTTTTGTTATCAGTTATGTACATTTGGGCTTTATGTTACATCTTCTGTTGTTTAATGAGAGTTTATTGTATTGTTGAAGTGTCATATGTGTTACCATGATGGTGTTTTGTGTTTGTATGAATGACTCTGTGCACCTTCTATATATTAGCGTGTACTTCTGCTTGTGGCGAAGCTACTTGTGATGAGCTTTGATTCTTCATGTGGCTTTCTCTTTTACCACCTGCATTATTATGGTGGTTGTCAGTATGTTAAAGGTACAAAACAGATTTTAATAGCAGTGTGCGTTGTTGAATTTACTGGTTTACATTCAAATTTTCTTGTTTGTAAATTACAGTTTTATACTTTAAAATGTACAGTTTTTGGCCGTAAATGTGTTTACAGTTTTTCTGTATTTTTTACTAAATTATTCTGGCAACCACAGCTGCCAAAATGTTTTTGTAAAAACTACATAATTTTTTTTACAGTGTACTGAACAGATAAAACTGTACAAAAATCAGAAAAGAAACTGAATTATGAGATAATCCGTGATCATTTTCATCTGAAACGAACATAAAAATGAATAAGATATTTTTGTGATGACTGTCTGACTGTAAAGAAGACAGCACGGACCTTATTTCTCCCGCTGCTGAGCTGTGGAGGCAGAGATCTGGATGCTGCTGTCACTCTTGCCCTGGATGTGGCCAGGTTACCTGCTCAGCGAAAGAAGAAACACAGATCAGTGACACATCAATCTTCCCGCTCTGAGGCACAAATGAATAAAACAACATAGTGACGTAGTGCTCTGAGCTTGCAACCCAAAGAATGCATGTTTGAACCCTGGAGGAGATCAGCCAAAAGACTAGTCTAGACTATAAATACAAAGACTACAATCTTGATCCTTGATGCCAGATTGCTCTACCCTTAGGAACAGTGTCTGCAAAAATACCACAGATATAGCCAGTTATCAAACTCTTATTGCTTTCAAAATCAATGCAACATTTTGAATTTCTTTTTCTTCTTTTTTTGATGGCACTTGTAGTGTACTTCAAATACCATTTAAAATAAATAAACTTGCAGATAATATAATATTGATGAAATAAAAGTCCATAAGTGCACTTAAATCATACTTTCATGACTGTGTCTTAACACACTTAAGTATACTTTTAAAGTGCCCTATATATATATATATATAATGTCAAATTAAACTTTAAAACTTTATTTTACTTTAAAATACTTTTTTAAATCATTAGGTTTTAAGAATCTTTTTTCAGGCTTTAAATAAGTATTTTTAACTGTAGTGTGTGTTTTACATGATATGACATTTAAAGTTAATACATTTTTACCAAATTGCACCATCATTACAAATGTATAATTACAAATATATTAATAACATTAAATTATATTTTAGTTAACTGCAAATGCATATAAATGCAGTACATTTGGGAGTACACTTTTAATATATTTCAGAGACAACAGAAGTAATCATGAAGTTACATATAAAGATATACTTAAGTCCTACTTAAAAGAGTCAAACAGCACTCTAATGGTCAGCTAATTGCAATTAATAAAATCAAATAATTTTATATAATTATAAATAACATGCCAGTGTCCAAAACATTACATTCAGTTTGCACTTACATATTATTTCTGTAATAAGTACTGTTTTTTAAAGTGAAATGTTAATCTTGACGATATTAAATAACATTAATAAAATTGACAAGTGACAAACTTAAACTTTCTTTATTATAATGGCTCATTGTAATAAAACTATAGTCCTTGAAACTAGCAAAACCAACACAAGAGTCTTTACTTTTCTGGGCTAGTAGAGTGCAACCACATAGCAGACAATGGCCTTCATTTACCCTCTAACTGAACTACATCAGTGTTTTGTGATGTAATATGGGGAATTAGAGTACAACTCTTATTTAAGGCAAAAACCCTTTAACAGACAGCCTCAATGAAGCCCGTGTTGTGACCTTGTGACCTATGCACTGTCTAATATCCAGTGCTGAGAGCGTTCAGGATCAGAGTGAGCCGTCACTGTCTCTCATCTCTCTTTCTCTCTGCCGTTAATACACTCTCTCTTTCTGCTTCCTCTTCTCTCGCTTCCTTAAACACACACACACACACACACACGTCTTCGTGATATAAAACCCCACTGTTGCATATGTAGCACCGTCTGAGCTTTTCAAAAGTTTCTGCACAAGATGTCCAAATGTTTTCCCTGGCTGGGTCTTCAGAGACTAAACTCTGATTAATGGTACTGAAGGAGCCTTTGAAGCCGGATTGGTGACATCAAAGTGCTAATCCACGGGTGGCAGGAGTTTTATAATGAGTGGGAAGCATTTTAGCACGTTTCAAAGGCTCCGGCGCATGAATAAACAATGGCAGCGCAGATGTGCCACACACCTTTGGAAAAATACCCACCGCAGACACGCCAAGCAGAGCTCAACTGTAGGTGCAGCACTTCAGTGTGTGTGTGTGTGTGTGTGTGTGTGGAGGTCTGAACAGAGTGGAGGAGATGAAACATCTGTTGTTCTTGTAGTCTGCGCCCCAGTAATACACCAGATGACAGATTAGAATGGGTCACAGACTCAAACAAACAAACAATAAATCAAGAAAACAATTATCGTTCTTCTTCCCATCGCCACGCCGGTTTCGTAATGACCGTCTCGTGTGAACGAACATGCGTGGTTCCCAGCGTTCAGAGCAGATCACGTTTAATTGCTCTATTAATTGAGTTGTTTCAGATCTAACTATAGCTCAGGAATCCCACGCTCCTGCCAATGGGATTACACGTGGAGGCTGCTGCTGGTAAATGTTGTCTCTGCTGTAGTCTAAACCCTGACGCAGCACTGCTAGATGGGCCATGTGTAGCTCTTTTCCACTAACGGGTGCTGGTTCTGGAGCCGGTGCTCAATCTCATCCTGTGCATTTACAAGACGGCCAAACCAGTTTCCACTGCTCTTAAGCCAGTGTCCAAAAATCTGTCTACACTGCAATAAACTCATGCTATTTTTCTTTTTATTTAATGATGCACAGCTATTCCGGCTAGATTATTTTTCCTGTCCAGTTAAAATAAAATCATTTTTATGAACGCCATAAGCTGGCATTGATTGGTATAAATGTGAGCAAGCATATATTTGCTTAAATTAATTGTAAGTTACATCAAAAGCAGCTTGTGATGGCATAAAGAAGCTGAATCGATTTATTTGGATGTTAAAATATACGGAGTGTCTATTTACACTAAGTGCAATAGCCTGCCTTGTTGGCAGAGGCTACTTGCACTAACTCCGCCCACCAACGTGTGATTCGGATAGTCAACACTGAAAAAAGATACTTATTAAATGGTTACGGTTATTAAACAGATTAAATGGTGTAGATGGTAAGGCGTGTGCTTTTTGACGCGATCGACCCGAGTTCCAACAAAAATGTACATCATAATAATTTTTTTATTTAATTGTAAATAACATGCCAGTGTCCAAATACATTACATTACAGTTTGCAATTAAGTACTATTTCTGTAATAAGTGCTGTTTTTTAAAGTGAAATGTTGAAAAGTGCATCTTGACAATATTAAATAAGTAATAAAATTGACAAAACGACAACACAACATGCTGACGCAGCGCTTTACAACACTTTTATTAATGCACGTATGGCTGGAAGCGATGGTTTATACTTTCCAAAGTTTCAAATATTAGTATTTTTTCTCATCAGCTTGGGTTATATGGGTTCCCTTTCAGTCGGTCACTCTCGACGTCACGTCGGAGGACCGACGAAATTGGGATCTCGCTTAGAGGGACCAATCTACTTCGAGTGTAAACTAAACGAGCCAATGCACATTGGCATGCGATTATTGCATCCAGCTGCTGCTGCTTACGTTTGCTTTGCGTGGTTTTTGACGTGTCAACTTTTGGTCACCCATTCATTTGCATATTATGGAAGCGATGTAATGGAAGTAGCGACAGATTTTTTTCTTCCACATTGTGATGTACACCTAAGTAAAACAGATTATTGATTAAGAAAGTATGTAGGGCAGGACTTGGTTCTATCCATTGGCTGTTGATAGGATGGAGGCATCTAAATGAGAGCTTGCTGTAGATTAAAGAAAAGAGGTGTTTTTGCAGACTAAATGACTGGATAAGTCTTGCATTCATCACCAGAGGAAAGTCTGCCACTTTACCATAAGATGAGTAATAACATGCATTTAGAAAGTAGACGTTTTTCCTCCATGATGACGAGAAGTGTGTTAGTTTCACTGTCCAATTTGACAAAATTCTTTGGCTTCTGAGACACGTGTGCTACTCTAAATAGTGTGAAATAATGTCAAAACAGTTGTTCACACATCTCTGACTAAATGGTAAAATAATAGTTATTCTACAGATGGAGGGTGGCTTAAAGAGATACTGTTACTGAAATCATTGCAGATATAGTCTTGGGTACTGCTGGTCTAATTGCAGCGATATTGTGTTTGCACTCAGGTCACATGACAACCTGCTAAACACAAATGACTGTAGAAGAACTTCTGTTTCTCTCTGCCTGTCATTTTTTCCCCTTACAGCTCTCGTTCTCTTTATGCTCCTGTCTGAGACTCTCCCATCCTCTCTCTCTCTCATCTCTGAGTGCAGATTATTAAAGGACATTTGTCAAAATGAATTAGTGCGAGTGGAACAAGCATGCAATGCATAAGTGCATTTTCACGCTTTTCACACAGACATCATGGTCTGATGAAGGGGATCTACCCTGAAGTCAGCTTATAATGCACCTACGCACACTGACGCACACATACAGCATCTCTGTCTCACACACACACACACACACACACACACAGAGTGGAGCAGTGCCTCTGTATGCATGTATTTATTCACATAATGACTTCTTGATGTTTTGACTCCCACATACCAGTTACGTCCATATTGAATTGTGAATCTGCAAACCCCCCAGTATTGAGTGTTCAACAAATATGGGGTTTTCAATGGTTGATTTCTATACTACAACCTCCAACTCCAATTAATTCTATAAGCTTAACCCTGAAGCACAACATTATTTCTACCCTGTCACAGTAAGTTTTCTATTCACTTAATTTGAATAGATAATTGAGGAAAGTCTAGCAGAATCACGCAGTTTGTGTGCCTTGTAATAAATCCCACATTCTGAATGAAAAATTAATAACCCAGGACCTTTCTCTTTCATGTTTAATGCAAACTCATCGCATTACAAATGTTGGTTGCATTTTGTAGCTATACCTCAGAAAGTACTGGGTAGCATAAGGTAACTACATGGGTTCAGGTTAGGTTTGGAAGTAGGTTTAGGGTTTGTCCCTAGTTATTGTAATTACTATAATGAGTACACAGCATGTATATGCGAAACAGGACTGTAAAATAAAGTGCTACCAAGATGTTTTAGGCTTTTTTATGTTTCTTTATTACACCGCTCCCTGGAAATACTCAGTAATTTTAAAGTCATGAAAGGGGTGTTTTATTTCATTAATATGACATTATCTGTAAGTAGTTTTTTTTAAATGCACTTTTAAGATTTGAAGTGCACTACAAGTGTACGTTCAAAAAGTGCACATCTGTATTACAAGGGTGAGCAAAGAGTGTTGGAATGGCATATCATTCTGTGCTCATACGACACATTTTTTATCACTTCTTTCTGGCATGTTCACACAATGAGAGCAAAAATGAGAGAAAAGTAGGTAAGGATAGAG